TTACACTTTTGTTTGTCCTTATGGTGTTTTTTTTTCTCCATCACCACTCTTTATGTCTGATTCAAGTAACTGTAACTTTTGGAAGTTCTGCAAGTGGCAGGTATCTTCACACTCTCACTCGGGAATACGAATGAAATATAACTGTATCAAAACATGCACTGGTTTTGTTGGACCAGCAAATAATTCTAGTACAATAATGTCGGCTATTACTGTTATTGTTTCATTGCGTGACGAGTTTTCACCGATCAGCACTACTCCTTTCTAATAACAATAAAATAGCACTACTTTCTTATAACAGTGATGAGTTTTCTAAACCTGATTGTGACTTCTCATATAATGACACCGCTGTCCAGAAAAGTACACAAGCTTAGATACATGCTTGGTTGAAAGTTTAAAGATTTTGATGAAAAACAGTCTGGTCAGTTCAATCACAAAAGAAAACCTTTCCTTGCAAGTTATTCCTTGTGAAATGATGCCTCGGTGAACGGAAAATGCAGCGAGGCCCGGCCCGGCTGTTGTGTGCTTCGAGGTTATCTATGGAGTCATGTTTAAGGCGGTAGCAAAGGATTTTGAGATCCGACTTTGAATACTCATGGTAACCCTTTTTATCCCCCCAATGTTTTTAGAACAACCATTTAAAACTTGTAAACACAACTTTGTTATAATTTCACATTGAAATGTAGTGTTATTTTATTATCATTACCGATACTATACTAATGGTATACATTAACAATCTCAGTAGATTACAGTATTTTTGTATTGTTCTTGAACATTACGTTGTTTGGATTAATCTTCTTAATTTTACTTAATGTAAATATCATCTGCAAACATTTCATTGACTAGAGGTAAGTAATATGACAGCCCTTGTTGAATGCTTGCAGGATGTGATAAATTATCTTCACGATAAGAAAACAATCTTCTTGGTACATTGGAACGGAGCGACATAGGGACATACTTGGAGGAATATAGATTTTTTTTCCAACGAACTAAGGTTAAAGTGTAATTTATGTAATTTTCACATGTAAATATTTCATGAACCAGAACAGATAATTAATATATGTCTATTTTTCACTTTCACGATTTGATGGAATATAGCCAAAACTGGATGATCGATGTTATGGACGGTTAAATACCAAATACAAACACTTAACTTTTACTGGACCACAGATGGTCGAATATTCGTTAAACTTTCACGGTCGAGTGAAAAGTCCTCATCAAAAACATACCACATCTACTGCAGCTTGTACCAACAGCTGAAAATTGTGAAGTATATTATCTACTATTCTGTAATATTGCATATGTTTCGCTTATTTCTCATGTAAGTCAGCTAGCCTTGGAATAATATTGTAACCGTTAACTTCATATCATACATGTATGTACTTATTTTGATTGGATATGATTTTCTTGTTTTGTACAATGTGCTCTTTCATTGCAGTGTTATTGTTGTACTTATGAGCGTGAAGGCTCACAGTGAATTTTCAATAAACAATAAACAGTTGTTAGTACAGTCCGACTATACTGGGTTAAAGTATATATATATATATATAGATATATATATATATAACTAACATGATTCAAGTTTGGTTCCCGCGCAGTTTCGCGCAAACCTTACCCTCTTGAAAGTGACTTGAAATTTGATTGCCTTTTATCTGTACACACTGGCACCTTCATCAATGCAGAATAGCAGAAAATGCCTTGCGTCTATTCAACCGAACTTAGTATTGAATATGAAAGTGTGCAAAAATAAGGCGCAGGAATTATATAAATGAACAGAGAACACAAATAAATACTTTTGGGCTCAGACCTCACAAATGAAGTCCATGAAAAATATATGTATTTTCGGAGAAAAAATAATTTGTCCCTTTTAATTAGATGTTTGCCTGAAAATTTGATGTAGATTTGCTGTGGAGACGATAATAATTTTCACCTCTACTTGTGACCCTGATGTGTGTAATCGACTGGAGTGTACCTTAAGAAAATGCTGAACATGATGGGTTGAATTGTTTATATTTTGGTTCTCAGATATTGATCTTTGCCAGGTAAGATTTATATTTGCAAAATGAAATTCTGGAATTTAGGTATGAATTTGAATGTTACAATGAAATATATAGTAAATCCAATTGTGGTCTCGGTCCTTCATATACCTGCTACCCTCGTCATTTGATCGTCAAATGCGACTTGGGACCTTCACCTTTTCTAAAACATTTTTCATTTATGTCACTTTTAACACTACCTCGTTTCCTGTTGGTATTTTCCATCCGCCTTTACGCAAAAGGACGCTTCAAAGTGGTATATTCCCTTGATGTCCTTCAGATTTGAACGGAATGCATTAGGACCGGCTATTTCATTATAAATTGGTGAATCTCTGAACACCATTTATTTAGTTATTTATTTATTCATTCATTTCTCTACAAAGCATTTTGTTTTGAATAGGATTACAGTTTTTCTCACTTTCAACACGTAAATTTACCTGTACGTCTTACCCGATGGTACTAAGGAACGGATATAACTTGCATCTTTTATTTTCCATTTTCAAATTATTGAAACGTTTTTTAAACATCAGCAAAAGTTTTTTGTAAATGTATTGCATAGTGATAAATATCATATTTCATGTTATTTTGCAAATTTTGTAATACTAATTATAATTATAATAATAGTTTAATTATTTTAAATAAGTAGCTCGGATACGTGTAAGTATTTGTTTTCTTTTCATCTATTTAATTCTCTTTTACCATATACAGTTCAAAGAAACTTACTACACCATTTAATATATCATGTCTTTTTATATGGTATTATGTTGTTGTATGTATCGTTGTTTTCATTGCACATCATATCATGGAGAACAAATGTTGCTTAAAATTGTTCTGATAAATCCATACTCATTTCAAGATTCTAATATAAATGTAATAAAACTTTGATCTTCTTATGATTAGGCAGTGATTGGCAATAACTTTATTTATTTCAGTCTCTTTGCAAAAAAACCAATGTATAGAGAACATATATTTACATTTAACAAAAATGTACATTGATGACACCTCATAAGACCTTTTAAAGAAGACTTTGTTAAACTTGAAGTTTTGACATTATTAGAATTCATGAGCTTTGAAACTTTATATATGGATACTGTAGTAATATTTATGGATATTTGACGTTCTCTCAGAAATCAAAAGTGGGAATTTCAATAGATATTGAAGTTTATCACATATGTCGTTTGTATCACAATGATGATAATTTTGTTTTGGTATTCTATCTTACTCCACCTGCCAGTTTCACCTATGAATGTATGGTTACTTGTTTTAAATACAAAGCAACCATGGTTCCGCTTTTTTCATTTAATATAGCACACTGTTTTTCATAAATTATTTTAATATATTCTATAGCAAATGGATATCAAAGAATGACAAATATTCGGGGGTTTTTTATAAAAGATGATCGTTTAATATCTGCTTAAGAACTAGTTCTACCCATTAAGGATGAAATTTTCTAGAAACTGGGAATTCCATATACATTTGTACAGCAGATCGCATTGATTCAAATTATTTTTTATGAAAGTGTAGTATGCTACTTCACTATTTCTACTTAAAGAAACATGCTAAAACAAAAGTTTATCATACATTGCAACACTTTGTAATGTTATTCATCGCTTATTTGCTGGTAATTACAATACATCAGATTTTGTCTTGCCGCTCAGTATTATCACCGCACATACATTTCCAAACCTATTAATTACTTGAGTCTCTTTTTCTAGAAAAAAATATATAGTCTGTCTTTGTGTTGTAGTTGTTATAATTTCCGATAAAATAATTTGTTTTGGGTTTGTTTGTACGAATAGGTTATTTAGTGGGTTTTTTTCCATTTGAAATCTTATATATTATCATATATAAACATTCAAATATTTTCAAAATTAATATCTTTCAAATATGAAGAAATGTATTGTATCATATGCATTTTGTGAGACGAATGAAAAATTCGGGTAAAAATCCAGGTGAATAAGACAACCTCTATGGAACAGTATAACATTGACTCTTTTTATTTAGGAAATTGTAAATACAGAAGACAATTATTATATTGACATTTCCCTGTGGTATCACTTAAAAGCGAACGTCTATAGAAACGTCACGGCGGATTTGTCCGCTGTAGCGGAGGATGTAAAATCCAAAACAACACGGAAACATGTGTTCACCTTCGATGGAATTGTTACCCTGTCAGTACTTCTCGTCGGAGAATATAAAGAAAGTCAGAAAATGCACGTGCATTTCATTGAGGTAACATTCTACCATATTATACAGGTGGCTCCGTGTACTTTTAAGCTGTAGAATAAGCATGCTGTTGTACCAAAATGGGTTTATTAAAACAAAAACAATACCATTATGAAAAAAGCGACACAAGGAGACAATAAACTGTGCAATCGAAAAACACGGGAAAGCTCTCAAATTTACATTTGGATGTGACAGTGTTCTGATATTATGCCACCCATCCAGGTGTCACAAAAGACGGTTTCTCATCGAGTTCACAAAACAACAAAAATAATAAATTGATAACTTGGTCGTTTGTTTGTCTAATAAAAACTTGACTGTTAGCGACAGTAAGCTCGATCTTCAAAAACAATTCATGTCAATAATACTGAAGTATATTTGATTCGTCCAAAATCAAGACCATCAATAATGGAGTCTACTGGAAGTGGTATAATTCTTTTAACAAATGATAGACAACGGATTTGTGCGGGATAGGGGTGGTTGCCTTGTAGGCATATACTGAGACGTTCTGAAGAATAAACTTTACAAACTAATGGATTCCAAATATTTCAACTTAGCTTTCCCAAATTTACTTGATACATATATGTGAATTATTTTGTATTGTCCTTCCAACATGTTATTGCAAGACTGATACATGTACGTCATATACTTATGACGTCTAATCAAACCAGAGCTTCAATAGGTGTTCCTACGTTTGCTTTCATCACATACTTCTGTCAGGACACTGTTTGGAAAACAGACACTTCATTTGATACTGTGAAAGAAACGCCCGTGAAAAGTCATAGGAACACGTGTCGGTAGGTTCGCTTTGTGAGCAGTTGTCATAGAAACGGCATCAATAACGGCAAGATAACTTGCATTCTTCTCTCCATCAAGAACGGGTACTAACAAGAAGCCATCGTCTTCTTTAGGTTTCGACTCGTTGTCGGTAGGAAAAGGAATAAACCACATTTCCGCCGGGTAATGATAGCGATAGAACCACATCCGATCTTTTCCATTACCACAAAGATCTTTTTTGACGAGAGCAATGTAGCTATACTGCGTGTCATCACACTTAGGAACCATACCGTACACGTAGCAGTAATTCCGAGACCGGTAAACTTCGTTGATTACTGGCATGTCAAACTTTGTTACACACGGATACCTGGCCGATTCCGGAAATGACTTCACACTAACCTGCGTTCTGTTTAGATTAATACCGTAACGTGTCAAAATCGAATGTGGATTCAGTTTATTCCTTTCAGAACGGTTAAGCAAGGTTTCCATGTTCAAGTCGAAGATGAGTGAGGCGTCCGGATATGTTGGTAAGTCTATAATAATTTCTTTTGTCCAAGTCTCGTACGCGTTTATATGGTGCATATAGAAAATTGGCGGCGCGCTAAAGGTTCGAACAATCCCAGTCCTGATCTCAATAACATGTATCGTCATGTTCTTCCTTGCACCCTGCCATTTCAATCCGTTTGAAATGAATGCAGTTGGTAGGAGTGCTTTCGTGTTGACAAATAGCGGTGGGGAGAAAAATATCACATAGTTTGGAGTAACAGAAAAGGAGTGCATGTATGGAACCTCGTGTATGTCCACCGACCACTGCGCCACAACTTCTCGATCATCCGTCGACTTTATTCGGATAAGTGAAATGCGATGTTTTACTCCAGGAACAACAGCTACACTGACCAAGTACGTGAAAAGGTGAGGGGTGCCATATTCCGGAAGTGGATGAGCGGACGACATAATATTCTGAAAAATGAAACTGTTAATACCACCGAAAGATGGCACCTTTGGGTGTTGATACCCAATCGTGTCAAGAGACAACGGGTTGATTTCATAATTATCCCAGATATCATTTAATGAAACAAAATCGCCATCTTTATTTCTCTGGGAGGGAAATCGAAAAATGTTCACATTCATGTTGTCCATACTCCGCCACAAGGCTAGCAACACCTGTAGGTGATTAAACCGTGGATGAGTAGGTCCGAACAGGACGTATGGAGATATATCTTTCTGTGAGATCGACTTACTGTAGAAGTCAGATTTGATGAATTTAGTAGAGAAGAATACGGAGCCGTTTCCTATAAACCGCCAACTGTAGAGTTTTCCAAATCCGTCAAACATATGAGAGAAGCGGCGATTCCCAACCTCGAACTGACCAGGTCCATTTCTAATCTGTATTTAAATGGAAGAGAAATATATTTCGCGTATCTGTAATAATACGATCACTATATCACTACAATATGTATTTTGGTCACTTGCAAAATATATGTAATTACAGATACAGAATTGTTTGTAACTATATGCAGTATTTCATCATTCGATTAATTAATTTGTTCTAGACGTAGGCCTATCGAAGAGCATATCAAAACAAAACAAAACGACATTGCAAAGTCCAGATGTCTTGATGGCGTTTTGTCTTCAAAATAACAAGAGATTTGGTGACCAGGACCAGTATTCATGAAACCATTATCATGCTCAAGCATAGATTTTGTGCTCAAGAGAATTTTTTTTTTATAATTCGCCTACATCATACAGAATAATACAAATGTCAAATATAAACATTGAATATAACTTTGACTTGAAGTCCTTTCATACTTTTTTAAAACCTTTGGCAAAATCAGTCTTATCTATCAATTTTTAACTTAAACAAGACATAAGGCTTGAGCACAAATATGCTTGAGCAGGAGAACGGTTTCATGAATACGAGCCCAGTGGTCTCTCGTATATGCCCACCAGAATTGGAAATCAAGGACTCCTCTACATCGGCCGCATATCTCGATATTTTCCTACTATGAAACCAAAATGGAAAGCTTTCCAACAAGCTGTATGATAAGGGTTATAATTTAAATTTCCCCATTGTATTTCTTTCTGGATAGTAACATGTTGCATTTGATTCGATATTCCCAAGACTGTTCATTATCTGAGAACAGTTGATAGCTGAGAAGATACTCGAAGAAAATAGACCTACTTGTGAGACTCTGTTTACTTATGAATCGAATACGTAAATTTATTTTTATGTGTAATATATCGATTGATTGATTGTCAAGTCTAAATTGAAATCAAGTGCTTCTGTTACTTGGAATAAGCATTTGTGTATTAAAGCAATATAATTATCTGCCGTGCTGTGTTTTTCAAAACATACCAATGTTCCCGTGATCCATCGAGGTATCGGTTTATCAAAGTGTATGGGCACGTTCTCCATTTCCTCTGTGTTTGTACGAAACAGTTCCTCGAAACCCTTGTCATGCACGACATTCTTGTGAGAAGAGCGTGTCCGCAAGCATAATTCTACTCTTGTCCAACACGTCCAGGTGAGGAGAAGGACATTAAACAATGAATGGGTCATTCTGACGATTTAAGTTCTAAAAGTAATCACATAACTGACACTTTCCGACTTGACGTTTCAAATAAATAAGAAATATTTGGATTTGACAAAAAGACTTAACATTTCATCGTTCAGAAGAGAACGTCACTATACAAACGATAATTAAATTGTATATTTATTTGTACAGCAGCACATACTTCCGTTCGCCTGACAACTTTAACGAAATAGCTACTGAACTATTAAACCTCTAGTTTCTAGTTAGCTGACGCAATGCCATCAGCTCCAGCATGAAGGCTCTGTGTGATACCTGGAGCTCATGTACTTAAATATCCTTACTACAGATCTGACGAATCACGGCTGTACATACATCTGTTTGTTCACTACACATCTTCTACAATAGCATTAGACTTTCTATCTAAAGATGTTACGTAACGTTCTCGTAAAGAAAAATTAAAACCTCAATTACAAAAAAAAATCATTAAAAAACACTTGTCACTTGTATGCACCTAATGCTGTTTAAAAGGTCAAATTAAACTGGTGCAGTGTCAGATATAATCACGTCATAACCTTATCTGAGCCATTCTTGTCTTCAATCACGTAAGGTTTTAGGCACTTTAGAAGTTACTTCCCATGCGAGACTTAATAGTTGAACTAAGGACATTACGTAACACGCTTTCCTGTTCAATTTGAATGATCAAATATCAACCTGAAGGTTTTTCTTTTCTTTTTAAACAGATTGAAGCTCTTGGTATTTTACTTTAGTATCATTCAATTATTGTGTAATAACTGATAAAACAATCAATTCGGTTCACAATCAGCATGTTTAGTGGATGTTTGATACTAGCAATAACGATGTGAAGTCTTAGATGGACAATTTGAAACTTGAATTTAAAATGATCTAAACATTAGATTAAAACAAAGACCAAAAACAAAAAACAAAACAAAAACAAAACAAACATACAAGACATGCCCTCAGGTCTTCCGACATTCACAAGTAATGTTTATCACACTCTTGCGAGTTAGAAGTTATGAACCGAAGAATATACTTTTGACATGAGCTAGACTTAAATCTCGGATGATATCGAAAAACAGACCCGAAAATAGTGACACATCGCCTTTCCATTCTAGAAAAAAGCAGTCGATGTCATTAATCTGCATTCAGTAAATAAAAGAAACCTTTTATTTCGATGAGACATTCGTCTTTACATTCATTGTGCGAACTAAAAAAATATATAATCATCTCTACGCCTTACCATTCTATAGACAAAAAAGCCAGGTTTTCGAGTGAAGTGACACGTTTGTGTTCACGGTATGTTCTTTCTTTAACACATACGACAGTCTTCTTCGTTAAGAACACAATGTCAGTGAACTTCGTAGTGTGTATAGTTTATAGGAAAAAATCCCATGAAATGTAGCAGAGAAGGAACATTTAACTTATCAGAGGTTCACGGAGAGTACTTTCTACCATCATCAACCTTTCATAATAGAAAACTATTAAGACCAATAAGATCACGCGATGAATTCAGATTGTATACATGTAATTAACATTCTTTTTAGAATTAAGAGATTTACAAAATTATGAAGTTTATTGAACATTAATTTATCATAGTCGCCTCATAGGATTCAAATTCCATTTAATAAAAATAATTAGGGGGAGGGGGTTATGGAAATTAAATTCATCTTTCTTATTCGAAGAAAATTATCTACAGCCGGTAAAAGATACTATTTTAGAAACAAAATTACAATACTGTCTTCCAGTGTATAATAGACAACGTATATCTAGTATTCCAGATACAGAAACAGATTTTTAAAACCTTATCTTGTTCTTTATATAGAAAATAATACAGAAAACAACCTAAGGAAAGTAATTCAGGCTATGGAACAACAGGGGCAAGTGGACATTGAGGAATTAGACAAACAAACAAAAACAGGAATTAGAAACTGTTAGGTTAGAGAAGATTGAAGGTAGCATAGTAAGATCTCGTGCAAGATGGCAGGAAGAAGGGAAAAACCAACAAGATATTTTGTTAGTTTAGAAAATAGAAACCACACATCTAAAATTATTCCAAAGTTAGAGACAGAAAATAAAGGTACATTGACACAGCAGAAGAAAATTCTTGAAGAGATTAGGCTATTTTATGAAAATTTATATATGGAAGTTAACTTCCTAGATGATGTGAACTTGAATGAATTTTTAGACACTTTTAATGTTCCAAAGTTAGATAATATAGTTTCTGATAGTTTAGAGGGGGGGAATTACTATAAAAGAGCAAGGGGTCCAACCTTAACCGTAGGTCACGGCCTAACTATCCCCGGTCACAACCAAAATGGCGGCGACCATCCGCTTCACGACACAGCGGTGAGTAAAATAAGTGTTTTGTCTGCTTACAGAGAACGTTCCTTATCACATCAATATTGCGTTTCGGATCTAGAGGAATTTATCTTTATATTCGTGCAACGAATTCACAATATAACCCAGTCCTGTAAAAATATACGTGAAAAAACCTCAGTGTTTTGACAGTCAAAACTGGTATCGAGGTCGGTTTTCCTACTTATTTGACTAATATATTACGTATCAAACATTTGTATGGTGTAACAATAACAGAATATGCACAAAGTAAAACAAGTTTGATATGTTTGACCACGGACTGGTTTGACAAACACTGTTTTCTTTCTTTATTGATGAAGTGAAATAATCAAGAAACGGTGACCCTGCAATGAATACTTTGTGTGAGAATTAGTTATGGACATGTACTCTGTTTAATGTACATGCTATATTGTATAAAGTAAAATATAAAATGGGGGAACGTAACAGTAGTACAAGGGTTAGATTTCCTATACATTTGAATTATTTTATTTTGGAGTCCATTTCTACTGACATTAATGAGGAGTTATAACATATCCAGATAATAAAGAATGTACACTAATGGAAACACAATGAGAACAATTCAAAATCTACTGTTACGGCACAGACTTGGAGGAGTGGCCTCCCCTAGCACGGGGCCGTGCCGTGAACGAGTGTAAACAAATGACCCACGATCACAGAACATGTAAATGCAAAATCGGAAAATTTCACGGTTGAATGCGACGAACCGAAAATTAAAATCGTCTGTTAATAAAAGCATCTTGGTATCCAAATTAACTCATTCATAGTAATAAATTTTGAAACATTTAATTAGTTTTATGTAGAGAATCTATTTGGAGATTTATTAGAATTTTTGTTCCGGAGATATTAACTTCCTAATATCGGTGTCGTTTCCGGGAACGGCGTACACTTTTCACCCCACCTGTATGATGACGTATGATTATGTTTTTATTATACATATTATTTTCTCTCTTATTCGTTGAAACAATTCAAAATATTTAAGATATTACCTTATTGTTAGCAAAATAAATACATCAACACCATTAAAACAGAGGTATTTTACCCCGATTTTGACCAATACTATAAATCGTCGAACCCAAATTTTGACCGGCTCGGAAAAGAGGCTGGACTGTGGACTTCGTTCGAAAATAAATTACTAAATAACATCAATTTTGTTAAATAAAGCAGGGTCAATGTTCGGATTTATTTTCCAAAAATGTGGTGTTATTAATCCTCGAGTAAAATTTTCTGATATACATTCTGTTATATTTATATTTCATATATTTGAAACGAATACCGAAACTGCGTAGTAAAAAACAGGATTACCTTAAATTGTCCTAGTTTCGATACGGATATTCCGAGTCGTCTGCCAACACAGATAAATCAACGTATGGTGGTGACTTTTCCTTTTAATTTTCATAAAAAAACCCAGCGAATTTCAGTCGTTGCCATTTTATTCATCAGTTAATAAATTAGAAATCATTTGCACCGACTTATTGGGTATGATCCAGGTCGGGGTTGACGTACAATTTTATACCCACTTTCGGAACTATATTTAGCTAACTGAAAATTACCAAAGCAGTGGTTGATGGCAGAGACGTGTGTCTCTATGTCTCTGCTGGTAGCTCTGACAGCTTTAGTTCGACAAGACTTTCTTAAGACCTACACGACAACTCAGGTAACCGAGTTTTTGTAGCTTCCTTTTGAGGAATTCATCTACCATTATTCTCGATATGATCAGCACTAAATTTGATAATATACTCCTGTTACTCAAATATGCTAAAATGCCGACTCGGGTACATCAAACTATACTCAAGTGCACCAAGTATTCATTCAAATATCATCATTTTGTGTTTAATGTAACTTTTAAATAGTCTAAACTATTACAGTAATAGACCACCAGTGGGATACCTAGAGCTGACCTATGTGTGAAAATAATTTTTCAATGGGGCTAAGGAGAATAGCTCTTAATGTGTGCTATATTTATTACTATCGCAGCCTATAATATGAATAAACATAATCCTATCAACTACACAACTATATGAAGTAATTGACACTTTAATTAAAAGCAAAAATTACACATAATTTCATGTTTTATCTGTCCAGTTTTGTCATGATGAAACTGCAAAATATGCTAAATTCATGTCTTTTGTATATCAAAAGTCCTCCCAAGCTTTAGAACTAATCATTATTAACAGCACGTAAATATCTTTTGATGTCATGTTTGAATATCAATTTATTGTGAAATAGTAAATACAATTTTTCAGAATTCAGTTATCCTCAAAAGTCACATCAAATAACATTTCTGTCTCTTAAAGATTACTCATAAACTTATGAAAGAACCTTTTGCTGATTGTTACTGAATTTACTTTTTTCAAGATATATATTTCTCTGTGTTATTTGTCGAGGCAGAGCCTTATGCTAAGTTACTATCAAATACCAGTAAGAAAGAAATTTTAATCGCTCTGTTATGAGCCATCACGGTTAACAATAGGAAAGTTTAATGTAGTGGAATAAGTTCAGGTTACTTGCTTACATTTGATTGAAATCATCCTTAGATTTGAGACTCCTGTGTGTCTTCTCCTCTGGTGTTGGCAATGACATTATAAAGATTGACCAGAAAGATGTGTGATCAAAACAACCATCCATTGTGTGACCACTAAGAGAGCCGTTATCATTAGAAGTATCAGTATATATTTGCTATGAAGATGCCTTTTCCACCTAACCGATTACACTGCCAAGAATGAATCATTTATTTTTATTAAAATCAGTTTATAAAAGATAACAATCATGGCTTGATGGTATGCCCATTTTGATTCTGACTGAACCCAAGGGGCTGATGGGCCGGGCCAAAAGGGGTCAAATTGACTTTAATCTTCTTCACAAGACCCAGATATGATAGAATCAAATACTCTTCATGAATGCAAGCATCTTAAGGTGCTTTACCAAAAATGTGAATTTCATGGCCCCAGGGTCTCACATATCCTGTGGGGAGTGGGTAAATTTACTATAGTTTACATACGAAAACTAGATTTTTGAGCTTAATTTGTTTAATTTCCAATGGAAATATTTAAGACTTGGTTAGAATTATGAGTAATGGCCTGATGGTATGCCTGATGGGTGGGGCTAAAAGGGGTCATATGGACTTCGATTTTAAAAATCTACTTTTCCACCCCCAGATATGGTAGAATTAAATGCTCTTCATGAATGGAAGCGTCTTTGGTTTTGATTACCAAAATAATGTTGGTTATTTCCCACTGGAAATAACCTGATTTTGTTTTGATGGAATGCATGTATTGACACTGTCTACATTCAATGTCACAATTTCTGTTTCATGACACTTGATAACTATACATTCACCTTTATATTCAATATTGCTTATCTCAAGTGACTGTCAAGGCAGCTAGTCCTCTTGATTGACATGCATGTACCTTTACACTTAATCGTTTGATTTTACAGGAAAAAAACTGTAAAGAAAGAATACGATACTGGATGTAGAATTAATGTTTGAACCAGCATAATCAGCAACATGATAGTGGATATTCAGGATTAATACCTATATAAGACGAAGGATCAGGGTGGCTAGAGAAGCATCACAGAAATCCTGCCAGATAACTTTCCATTGTGTAGAGTATTAGTTGATTATACTGTAAAGCAACATGTCTGAAATTTTTGAAACTTGTTCTAGTGAATTATTTTGTGTTGGTAAACCCAAAGACAGAATGGACAGATATTCAGATGACTTTTATATAAGTGAAGTTTCGATAGATTCACCACATTGTGATCAAGGGGCAGCTGCAGATACAAAACATGATGACCTTGAGACAGCTGCAGATACAAAAACAGGTGACCTTAAAACTGATTATTGTGACCTTGAGACTGATTATTGTGACCTTGAGACAGACTCGTACAACTACTTAGAAAAATGCACTGAATTTACTGGTGACCTTAAAACTGATCGTGGTGACCAATACAACCCAGGTGATGGTTCATTTGATAGAATTTCAGGCCTAGTATTAGACAATTCATCAATTTCTGGGCAGTCTCATGATCAAATTGTCACATCATGTCAAGGTGATAAGATGAAATCAAATTCAGAAGTGTCTGATTTAAATCATTTGGAAACTGACGGAAATGAATTTGCTGCACATAATGAAGAAACATCAGTCAAGATGGTTGGAGTATCACATGATCAGTGGCCACAGGAAAATGGATGTGCATTTAGGGTCAAAGCTATGGATATGGATGGAAGACCACAAAGGACAAATATGTAAGCAAAGTAATCGGTGATCTTTAATTAGAAAATCACAAAATTAGGTTGATTGAAGCATAAAAAAGGGACCAATGTACTTTGGTATATAAACAAACATTCAAACAGCTAGTTCTCAATAAAGATGTTTTAATTTTAAAATGTGAATATACCTTAACACTTACAGATTTTCATTTATGTTAGTGCAAAAATTATATTTCAAGTATACTACAGAAGAAGGTTGTCAACAAATATAGATATTTTCCTAAAGAATGAATGAAAATGTAGAGAAAACATACATAGGATTTTTGCCATGAAGTAAAGGTGTTGTAATTAAATACTTATTTTTCCCAAAATAAATTGTTCTTTCAATGCTTCTAAAACTGCATTGAACTAGTGTAAACATAAAATCTGGTGTTTGAATGCATTAGATTGTTATTCTGGTTGGTCTGTAATAAGTGATATATCATTTTTCATATAATGGACTAACATTGATCTACTATCACATTTTCAGGACTGTGAAAAAGATAGCCAAAACGACAGAAGATTTTTCATCATTTGAATATCGTCATGACCACTTGTCCAGAGGGCATTGTTTGATTATCAGTAATTCAGAGTTTAGAGCAAAACAAGATCGCCCTAGAAGGTCTGGATCATTGAGAGATGCAAAAACTCTTAGAAATCAGTTTCAGAAATTGGGGTTCTGCCCAATCAAGACTTCAGATGGGTCAGAAGAAATGATTCATCAGAATCTATCTCGGGAACAATTATTGCAAATACTGTCTGATGGTACGTATGCTACATGTATATCAAAATATAGAGTTGTCATCAATCAGTAATTTATCAGCTCATTCGGGCATTTTCTTAAACTTTCAACAGCTTTGCTTTATTCATTGGTTGGATCAAGATATCAATCATTAGTTACATTATATCTATACATTTTGACTCGGCTGACTTTTCTAACACTGCACAAATATGAGCAGTGATTGGAAAGAGAGGTGTTTATATGTCACTATGACATCTGGTGATAGAATCAATAAAAATAAAAAACAAAGAAATGTTAGATAGTAAGTACATTCAAGAAATGAAGAGAATTTGGCAGGTTACAGAAAGTGATCGATCACACATATATTTCTATTTTAGCTACTAATCCGATGCTAAATGACCATTCTGACCATGACTGTTTTGTTTGTGTGATTTTGTCATATGGACTGGAAGGTACAGTGGTTTGTCCAGGAGAAATTGATGATGTATTTGTTGAGTTTTACTCCATTCTAGAATTTTTCAAACCTCAACATTGTCCATCTCTTGCAATGAAACCTAAACTTTTCTTCGTACATGTAAGTATATTCATTGTAGAAAAACAAATACCTCTTATGTTTTCATAAAGACTCATTTAAGTGTGTGAAGTTAGAAATTGATTTGTATTGTTTAATTAAGATTGTGATTAATCTTGTTTAAAAAAAAAAAAAAAAACGTTTCTTTGTGTTTATGAAGTTTACACTTTTAATATTAGATAATGGTATCATCTATAAATATGTAATAAACAGAAAGGAACAAAAACCTGATAGTTGAGAAATGACTATAGTTAAATCCCTGTGAAATGAACCATGGCTCTGATTAGTTTATACATGTACTATGAACAGAATTAATGATATTTCCAGTAAATTCAAAGGACTCCTATCCAATAGCGACTGCTTGATTCTGCCTTCTTATATTTTATAACAACACTCTGGATTGTTTAAACTCCTATATCATGTAAATCACTTAGATTTTGCGAATACTTTATTTCAAGAACCTTACCTCTTCAGACATATTTGCGAATGCATGATTTTGCAAAAAGTGGTCTAGAAATGGATTTAAATTCATGAATGATAGGCTATGAGGTACATGGACTCGGATATTGATAACGGAATCGGCATGGATTTCATCAAGGGTTATTTTGATACAAATAATCACGAGGAATTTGAACTCGCATTTGACTCTCCTTGTGTATTAATGGAATTTTATATACCATGGGAAGTATACATGATTTACAATTAATAATCTTTGACTGAAAAGTATACATTATATGCTACATATGAAGGCTTTTTCATATCAAACAGGGATGTACACCATATGAAATACATGAAACACAAGCAACAGTGCCATCCTCAGCAAGAGATGGTTCAGATGGATGTGTGATGACAGCTTCTCTCCCTTCAATGGCAGATTGTCTTGTTCAGTTTTGTGGTGTAGATGGTGCGTATGTGTTTGATTTCCCCACTGTAGACATAATAATAATAATAATAATAATAATAGACATGACATGTACACATTTTGTAATCTTTGTTAATAAGAGATATAAAAATTGCATTAACATTTTCTGTTTCATAAAAGTCTAATATGTAGTGTTCTGAGTGATGATTTTTACTATTTCCCACATACAAGACTTGAAGGAAATTTCACTGTATACTCCAAGAGTAAGATGTATAAACAGTATACAAATAACAGTTGTTTATTAAGAGGATATTAATTGTTGATATTTTTTTGCAAAGTGAATTTGTAAAAGTGAGATGTGTTGAATGAAAAAAAGGCTTTAACATGTATTTAGTTTTATATGATGTTCATTTGTTTTTCAGGCATATTTGGATGGGGAAGGAATAGAAAGCGTGGATTATCTTACTATGTCCAGGCTTTGTGTGAAAGTCTTAAAAAATTCTGTATATTGAAACTTGAAAAGGGACATAAATCAAAAGAAATTTCATCTCTTGTTCTCAGCATAAACAAAGCTTTTGTGCGTATCTTAGAAGATGATGACAACACAATTGATGAGGAATTTGGTGTGCCGTCAACCTTTTCTACATTAACTAAGCAGATGTTTTTCTATCCTAAAACATCTCAGAACGACCTTGAAACAGACACAGGATAGCTGCTCTGACAATACTGAGGCTCATGGATATTTTGATAGCCATTACTAATGTTGCGATATTCACAGGTCGCTTGGATGAAAAGCTTGTAATGATAAACGTATGAAAATTTCACGGCAAATTTTGCAGTATATATGAAGATGTTTTTATAGACAATGGTCAGCTATGGAACACCAGCTGTACAGTTATAATGTAATCATGTGACATGGGCTCTGTTAATTAATTGTTAGCCATACTGATCAATGATGTATCTTGTTCATTAACAATGAAAACACAACCTGCTGATAAAAGAATGATAGGATTATTACCAGAATGTTACCAAATAAGACCTTTTAGCGGAATTATATTTTAAGGGCCACATAGCAGAGTAGATGTATACAATATCTAACTCTTTTTGAAGTAGAGACAGCGAAGCAGACAGAAGTAGCGTATCATCTGCTAGCAAAACGCAAGATATGTGTATATCCCTTACTTTTAACCCAGAATTTTGATTATCTAGTTCTACAGCAAGGTCATTGATCATTACAAGAAAACACCATATGGATAACACTCGACCTTGACCTACCCCCTTGGGCTACTGGTTACGTATTACTACGTTTGCCGGCAAAAAACACTGATGACGTCACATTAGGTAGTAGTGTAGCAGGTTAGTATTTTATGACTGTTTGTTATTGGTTTATATTGTATATATTTGTATTTTGCCATATTTATGTTCGTAATAAGTTGTGTGGATGGTGTATGAAAATAAATAGAATATGATGGTGCATGTCACCTTAATGTAAGTCTGTTATGCAAGTTGTGTAAAGGTCAAGTAGTGACCTTTTGCACTATTATGTTTTAATTATTCATGTAATGACATGTGACTTGACATTAGACATCTGATTGGACAGTACCAAATAACATCTCTGGTTTTCTTCGGACTTTCTTGTCTTGCTTTCTTGGCACTTCACACCTTTCCCTCCTTGGGTGTAGAACCTGTTTGTCCGCGGGAGAAGATTGGATTTCCTTGTAGATGCGTCGTCGCTTAGCCCGTCCCGTCCCTGTTGGAGATTTTTTGACTTTAAACTCCCACCTAATCCCGTGGGGTGAGTGTCAGAATGAATTTTGTGTCTTGTATACATTTTATCTTGAGTGAATGAAATTGAAGCATGTTAATTCTATAAAATTAACATGTAAACGTATAAATTCTAAAATACAATTAACAATAATATAACTATGTATAAATGTGTAATTGTGTAAAATCGAATACATGTGTATCAATAACCGTGACGGGTTTATCGCCCTTGTGTAAGAATGAACGTTGAGAGTGTGCTCATGTATTGTATTTTTATGTTTCAGAGTTTATATCCACCTTTAGTTCAATAAAAACCAAGAACCCTAAACAGTGTTTGTATTAGAATCAGAC